AAAAATGGATGCTGAGGCAGCAAACTAATGGAAGCCAGGAGAGCCATCCCCAAATGTTCCTGGTCCCAAGGTTCATATCTGTAGGTGAAGGAGAGGCAGGAAGCACAGCTGGGATGGTCAGACACTTCCAGGAAAGGTTTGACCACTGGATAGGTTTCTGCACAACTCTGGGAATTCATTCTGAGCATGATGCAGAGCTGAGGGTGGGAAGGGAATGCTTCCCATCTTTTTGCAGCTTCTCCCTTTCCACCCTGAAGACCCTCGAGGGAGCAGTTCTGTGGGTGTGGGTTTAGAAGGGGCATCCACAGCCAGTCTACTTGACAGTGCCTGGTGCTGAATTAGAGGGCATTTCAAGAATAGGCAGAATTCCTGCAACACAAATTGACCCAACATGATTTGAAACAATTAACCCTCTGATATCAAGAGTCAGGATTTCCTGACCCACAAGTCTAATGTATTTTTCATTAGTTCTAACAGCTGGTGAGCGCAGCCCTCTGGCCTTAAGAGGTTTATTTCCTTCTTTTTTTCTTTTTTTTTTGGAAGAGAAATTCGTCATGAGCATGAGGAGCTTGGCACAAATGAAACATGGTGAAAGCAGAGCAGTAGGGCTGCAGTTTATCTGATTCAGTCTTTCTGTGCAGCCCCCTGTGAGTCTCATACACTACTGCTTCATGGAAAAATACAGTTCTGCTTCACAACTCCTGCTCTGACTGCTCGTCTCATAAATCCAGGAGTGTATTAGTTACACTTGTGAATGTAACTTCTGCTGGCTGACTTGTTTGGAGGAAATCACAGATGTGTCTGCAGCAGAGAATGGAAATCATTTGTGCCTAGTATTGTTTGTGTCACTTGTATCTCACTTCTCAGGGTCTGCTTGTGAATTGTATTTGTTCTGCATTTGTAATTAGTGGTTGGTGTAGTTGGTAAAGCCTTGAACTGATGTGTCTGTTCCACTAACCTGTGATGATTCACAGGATTATTAAGTTAAAAACCAGCAAAAGAGGGATTGCAGACATGATGCTCTCATACTGTTCCATTACAGGAGCAAACACGACCAAAACCGTGAATGGTTTATTTTTTATTGGACAAGTCACTGCATATATGTAAGCCAGCATTTATATTAACCTTAATTGGATATTTTAATACCATTTTACAATAGACCCTTTACCTTTTGGCTTTTACCTACTAGATACACACTGTTCACATCTTGTCCAGTCCTGTGTTTGTATGAATCCTGGTTATTTTAATTTCATTTCTAAGGCTTGCATCTCTGCTCCATTGTTTTGGAAATCTGAAGGGCTGTGTGTGAGGAGCCAGAGTGACTCCCTTGTTCTCCTTCTGCCCCCGTGTGTGTTTCCCTCAGCTTCTCCACACTCCTTGGCTTAATTCCTCATGCTCTTTGCAGCGTTTTACACTGAATAGATGGGTATTTAAATGGGATTTAATGTGAGCACGCTTACTTTTCTTAGGGGCTCGTCTGCTGAGTAGTGGCCAAACCTGGAAATTACCTTGAATCTTAATTTGGACGGGTTTTGTGGGGCTTAATTGTTTGAACGTTTTGTAAGCGCAGCCGTAACGGGGTGTTTTATAACATCAGAAAAGATAGTTTTAATAAAGCTGTCTAGAGCTAGAAAGAGGAACTCTTTCTTTGATGCTCCTTTGGTAGATGAAAACATTTTTGTTCAATAGGAGACCAGCATCTTTTTTTTTTTTGCTCATTTGAGACAAGTTCTGGCAACATACTGATATTCATTCAAATATAAATGCCATATTCCCTTTGAAATGCAAATTGTTTAAAGAAAAATAGCATATGGTAGAGGTAAGTACCTTTTCAAATCAGCTCCCACACTTTAGGGATGTGAGTACAGCTAAAATTATTCTTTGGAAAGAATCTGGAGCCTTTGACACATTGAAGCTTGAACTAATCAAGGCTTCCCAGTAAGCATATACACATATCCATATCAAGGAAACAGTGCTGAGAATACATGGATTAGCATAGTAATTTAACTGCCCCCTGCTAATCAACTTAAGCAACCAGCTGATGCATGCAGGATGCATTTGAAGAGGCAACTCTTTCACAGCTCCAGCATGGGCCAGGTAGCAGGAGCTTGGGTAGATGTGAAGATGGGAATCTGGCTGTGGCTGGGGGGACAAGAGGTGCAGGACATAAAGGCTTTGTGTGTCTAAGCCAACATACAGGCTTTGCTTTCCATGGATCAGGGAACCACGGAATGGTTTGGGTTGGAAGGACCCTTAACTCTCATCTGCTCCACTCCCCCCTGCCATGGGTAGGGACATCTTCAGCATTTCCACTGAGTACTGTTGGCCTCCTCTTCCTCGCTGTCTCCTGCTTGCCTGTGAAAGGCTGAGGTGGTTCCTGCTGTTGAGGCTTTATCCCTGAGGAGAATTAAAGGACTTTTGCTGGTCTGGTTTGGGGTTTGCCCATTGTAGATGAACTGTGGGACTGTGCTGGAGAAGCTCTGGCAAGAGCAGCAGTCCTTGTTTTGGAGTGGCAGCAGCATTAGCATCTGGTGTGGGATTCATATCCTGCAGTTGGACTGAGAAGTGGTAAAATTTGCACTGAATTGGGAAATAATGATTTTTAAATAAGGTTCTGAGTAACAAGTTTTTGCTAGAGTTGAGCATACCGAGGAGGGGAACAGGAAAGGAAAGGCACTCTGTTTTCTCATGGTTGCTGGCTTGATGGGCTGATATGTCATGAAAAGACACACCTTGCAGCACCTGGACGAAGTGGGATTTAATCCTGAATAAATATTATCAAAAAGGTTGCAGGATAAAGGTTACCAGGCTATGGCAGTAGGAAAGAGGGAGCTGGGCTGGATTAATCACAGTTCAGTGAAGTGTCACATGAATGCACTTGGCACCTGTTTTGTGCTTGCAGCCCGTGCCTTTGAGAGAGGTGCAGTGGAAGAAAAATTCTTCTTTGGTTCCTAGAACAAGTCACTTCTCAACAGGTTCATGTCCCAGCCTGGGGCTGGAGTTTCCTCAGGTGGCATGAAGGTGAGAGAAGAGCTTTTGGTGCTGACATGATGACACAGAAATCCTGATGTTCTCTTCTCAAGGTGCTGGTTTTGCATCATGGTTAGAAGGTGATGGGATGCTTGTGTTCAGAGGCTTGTGGACTAGGTAGAAATGTCAGCATAAAAATATCACTGCTTGTGTTGTGTCTATGTTGGCCTAAATCTCAAGTTTGTAGACCCCACTTGGTCTCAAACTCTTGTCACTCACATCAGCCATTCCCTTTAATTTGGTGGATCATCGAAACAATTTATTAACATTCATCATTTTTCTGGATTGTGAAAAGCAGAAGAAAAGGGGATTTCAAAGTGAGCATCACAGAAGCTGATTTGGAAGGAGAGATTTAAGGCAGCGCAAAATACAACTTTTGTCAGCTCATGTTTTCATTTTCTCTTGTGGTTTTAAAATACTGAGTTGCAATTTAGTCCTCTGCACTGTAGAGTCATGCCTTGGGAGGTCTCAACATGGTTCCAAAACCCACCTTAGACTTTGCAATATGAAACAAATGAGTTTTTCTGTGTATATTTCATGTCTGCAAAGCAAGGATTGCCAGGCTTGAGAAGTTCTTCAGGGCTGAGTCAGTACATTGAAGACACAGATACTGTGATGGATCTGTGTTAAGGACTAAAGAGGAGATTTTGTCTTGGGAAAGGGGAGGAGAGAAAGGGACAATTATGCCAACTCTAATAAACACAAAGTAGTTCACTAAGCTCTGCTGTCTTCCCAAAGGCTGCTCTGGGAAAAGACATAATGATAGAACTGGGAGTCAGGAGATCTGGGTTTTATTTTCAAGTCTGCCACAATCTTCCTTTGTGGCCCTGGGTCATTTAACCTCTGAAAAATGGGGGAAATGATAGCAGATAATTAACAACCTCACAGGAGCATTGAAAATTAATTCATTAATTTTTCTGAACTCATCAGTAGAAGGTGCAATGGAAATGCAAAGTGTGAGAGCACGTTATAATACTGCATCTGCTCCTTTCCCTTTGCATGTGTTTTTTAAGAGTGTTCTTCAGTCCATAGAGGACCTGTGGGGCACCTTTAGAGAGCCTGACATGAGGAATGAAACTGGCACTGTAAATTCTTTGTAGTTTTATGACATGCAAGGCCCATTGCTAGGAATGAAGTAAAATGTGCTCAGAACCCAAAACTGCGGAGCACGTTTTGGCCCATAGCAAGTTGCAAGCAAAACCATCAGAAACCTGAGTTTCTGGAAAGGTTTTAATTGTTTTTACTCTGAAATGTATTCAACCAGATCCCACTTGTCCTGTTTTATGGTGAGAAACCTGTCCCTGTCACTCCCGCTTGCACACAGTTCCAGCATTTTAATATCCTAGGCCTCAGTGGTCATGAAAATGCAGAAGTGTTTACTGGGTAAAGGCTGTTCTTTGTGTGTCCCCTTCTGTGTCACATTCCTGGGACCAGCCCCAGGAATGATACTTGCAGTCGGTCCAATGTCTGCTTTGTGTCACGATGTTTTAAGATTAAATGTCCAAGAAGGTTTTTTTTCACCCTTGGTCTCTCAGTGCTGGCAGTCCTTTGCTCCCCAAGAGTGTGTTCTTTGGGGACATACCTGTGTCAGGTATTATTTCCAGGTGGATTGTTTTAAACTCTTGGAGTTGGCTCAGTTGTATAAACAGTGGCTTTTAGGAATAAATTGATTTTCTGTGTGCAGTCTAACAAGCAGAGAAGCTCAAGAGAGTGTGCCTGGTAGCAGAGTGGTGGAAGATCGTGTTTCTCAGAAGGTGAATGAACAGAATGAGGTGATACTATGAAAAATTAGGCTTTTTTGTCTTCTTAGCTGTATTTGAGCCGGTCTGGGGGACCATCAGCTTCAGGGAGGGTCGTTGTGTGAGTGAAGTGCCCCCTATTTCTGCTCATTAAGACTCCCCCCATCCATCCCAATGCGAAACCCCTTTTGTGCTCTCTATTGACACGCTTTGTTTTCCGTTTGTGCCTAGGGAACGTGACTGCTAGCACATCTGTGTCTCAGATGGCCAGTGGGATCAGTCTGGTGTCCTTCAACAGCCGCCCGGACGGTTTGCACCAGCGCTCCTACTCGGTCTCCAGTGCAGATCAGTGGAGCGAGGCCACAGTCATTGCCAACTCTGGCATTAGCAGTGGTAAGAAACCTGCAGCTTTGGGGGGCTCACGTGCCTTGGGCTGAACGGGGAGTTTGGTGCTCTTGGTTTTTTTTGAAAGGAGAAAAAAAAAAAAAAAAAGAAATGAAACGGTGCCCACCCCATTGTGGTGTTGGGTGCTGAGCTTGCAGCGTCTGAGGGAAAAATTGGAATTAGAAAAAAGGGGATGGATTAACTTTTAACATTATTTTTTTTTATTTGAGCACGGAGTGACAGGGCAGGGGGGAATGGCTTTAAACTGAAAAAAGAGGAAGTTTAGCTTAGATATTAGGGAGAAATCCTTCCTTGAGAGGATGCTGAGTCCCTGCAGAGGCTTGCCCTGGAAGTGTCCAAAACCAGGCTGGATGGGACTTGGAGCAGCCTGAAAGAATTCTGTGACTGTTTTTTCAACATGAAGAGCTACTGTAGTTGCAATACTGCTTAATTTTGATTTCAGGCATGTAATCAATGACCCAGAATGGCCTGGGTTGGAAGGGACCTTCAAGCCCATCTTCCCCTGCCATGGGCAGGGACACCTTCCACTATTCCAGGTTGCTCCAAGCCCCATCCAGCCTGACTCTGGACACTCCCAGGGATGGAGCAGCCACAGAATGTGTGTTGTTTGCTTGATACTCACATTCCTTGCCCTGTGTGATGGATATTAGCAGTAAATGACCCTCTAGATCTTCTCCGCAGTGTGTCCTTTCTCTGCCGTGCTCTTGCTCCATTGCCTGCACACTCCTGGCACAGTCTTAGTGTTTCCTCTGTGGAGCATTTAAGAGCATTAAAAGGAGCAGGCACTATTCCTGGTGGTGTTTTGGGATTATTAGATTGTAGCAATAATTGTTTTTAAAGGGTAGATGTGATATTTGCTACCAGACCAGGATGAATAGGTCAGGAGAAAGGGGAGGAATGCTGTTTCTAATGGCTGCCCCTAAAATGGGAGCAGTTAGGGGAATATGGGAACTATTTCACTTGTCCCACATATATCTCTGTATCTGTAGAAGTTCTGAATCTGAGTATAGCCCTGAGAGCACCTCTGGGTTTTTAGTGCCAACTTAGGAGAACAGAGGGTTTAAAATCTTGATCATCATGTTTCAGAGTGGCATTAACTATCAAATTCATACTTAGCAAAGCACAGACTGTTTTCTGGAGCTGCAAACATGGGGGCAGCACCTTCAGGAGAATTTGCACTTAAATGGTCCAGATGTTGCCTAAGAATTTTCTGAGTGAGCCATGCAGGAAGGCAGGGTTGTGAAGCAGCACAGTGAAATAAATGCTTCAACCCTGTCCTCTTCTGTGTCCACCCAGCTCACCCACTCCTGGTTAAGTTTTTAGGGGAGGCAGCATTACCCTGCCTGGATGCTGAGCTGATTTCCCACTTAAAATCACGTATTTTCAGCCTCCTCCATGTGAGCTACTTTGTCATTTTAACGCACCCCAACTCCACCTCACTTCTGAGAGGTTAGACCAAAGTTTGGGCTTTTTTGTGCCTTTTATCCTGTAGCTTTTCTAAGATAAGATGAAGAATGTTGAGTGCTGGCTGTAGGAGGAAAGCAAGAGCTCTAGGCTGCAGTCCTGTGCACCTTGACACACCTGCAGGCAGGTGAGCAGGTGCCATCCCCATGCCAGATGTCCCAAATGAGGCTGCAGGGGAGGAAAAACCTTCAAAATTCAGTGAACTGCTACAAGAGGCATGGAAATAGAATCCTAAAAAATAGAAATATCCCCTGAATTCCTGCTTTTGCCATCCCCTTGGCTTCAAAATGCTTGGATTTGCCCGACTTGCCTTTTGCTCCTGCTGCTGATCCCAAGCTAGTTTACAATTCCTGGTGAAGGGAAACTTTTCTCCTACCCCAGCTCTGCAGTCTCCCATATGTGCAGTACCTTTTTCTGACTTGACATTCATATGGGATTAGTTCTGGCTCAAAAGAGACAACAGCCAGAATTATCTATGAAATACTTATTTTGAAATTGCAGGCGACTGGTGGATACTTGTGAAGAAGCCTACCTTGAAAAATTTCTTGCAGAGGTTCTAATTTTTTTTTAAATGTTGAGGTGTTGTTTTTTATAAATACGGAGGGAAAATTGGATTAAAAACGAGTTTTAGGCAACTAAGGGTCAGCAGACTCAGAAGTATTGCACTAAAACTCTTACAAAACCTCAAGAATAATTGATTGCTCTGAGTGTATCATCTTTGGGTAAGCACAGAGATGTGTCCTTTATGTTGGCAAGTTGACGCATGAAAAACCCTTTTTAATTTCTGGGGTTTTTTTCTCCATTAAAAGATTTTTGAATTTTAGTCATAAAAAGCTAATACTGTGAAAGCAGCAGGTATGGCAAGAAGCTAAGCATCTTTTGGAATTCAAATGCCAATGTACTGGAGAATATGCCTGCTTATTGTCACGTGGTTTTATTGTAGACAAAATAACATATTGGGATTCAATTTTTCTTTGCACCTTTTTTTCACATTAAATTAATACTTTGTGTGGCTCCAGAGAACTTTTCAAAGTCTTCCAAACCAGACCTTTGGTTTCCTGGGGCTTCTGTCTTTCAAGCAGCTGTGAACATCTCCTAATTAGATAAATTACTTTGTAGTGGGCAGAGCCACAAAACAGGAGGTGCTGGTTAAATTAAAGGGGAAAAATAGAAAAATCCATTCTCTGAAATGGAATGCCCCACTGCTTTATGACTATTACTGTTGTAAGGTTTTACATTTAAGTACCTGAGGTTTAAAATTAAATGTCTAATATAATTTGGCGCTGGTAACATGAAGCTTGTGCCTGCCCTGGGAGAAAATCTCGACAGCTTAGTTTGGTGTTTCAAATTGCTGCGTGCTGGATAGTGAGCAGCTCGTGCTGCTGGCTCACTATTTAGCTCAGTCCCACCTGCTGTTCAGCATCATTTCCAATGCAGGAACATATTTGCCTTAAAAACTCCCGAAATTTCAAAAGGCCGTTCCAGCAGCACATGAAAAATTAATTCTTTTTGCCTTTTTTCCTCCTTTTTTTTTTTTTTTTCC